CAGAGGCATTTTTTTCCTGCTTCGTTCAAAACACGCCCCATAATCACAGCTCTATGGAGCAGTATCAGACAGAAGTTTGTGGTTTGGATCAACCTTTTTCCCCAAGGATCGTTTGTGGCTTCTCTCTGAGCAAGGGATTAATCTCCACAACAACCCGTTCAAGTACCGCAGGAAATCTAAGTGGCAGCCAGCCTCTTTGTTCTCCAAGGAGCAATCGCAATCTGGGTAAACCCTGTCTGCCCTCCATCGAAAAAAACAATCACAATAATATCCCACACCAACTGGAGTCAATAAGAGACACCATTTTCCGGAAACGTAGCAACCTATTCCTCCTTTTCAAGTTCAAGAATCCAAATTCCCACTGAGCCTGAACTAACCGCAGTGCCTTCCCCTCACTTTCCAGTTCCGGTTATGGTTACAAAAGTAACTGTTAGACCATGATATGAAAGGGGAGAACTGGGTAGCGCTGTGGCTATCTGTGCTCAGTAGCTAACATGCCTCTTTTAGCTTGGTCAGTTAGCCATATTGAGCTGCACTGCTTATAACTTCTTTTCAACAGCAACCATTTTCTTTGTCTAAAGTCTCTATGAAAGTCATTTTTAAGTTGTTTAATTTCCCCTCAGATCTTAATAAAAAGAATAAAAATAAGCTGAAACTTTTAGTGTCTCCTTGTTAAATGGTCTTGGAAGGCAGTGCTTTGCTTCAAGACTGACAATAATCGTTTTCTACCTTTGGCTACTTTAGATCGACGATGAAACATAAAATAGGAGCAAATATGGGGAATAATATGTTTAGACTCCAGGAGAGGTCTGATTTTCATTAACAGGAGCCATGCAGTCTGTCTGAGTGGTGTTGCCATTTAATGATGTCATCAGAAGGGACGGGGCCTCGCACAGATCTGCTACCTACACTGGATTTGATTTTTGGGGTAACAGAGAGAAAAGCATCCCACACTTTTCAGATTAGTAAAAATATTATGTAAACAATGTCTCCTTTTCCTCCCATGTCAGAGTCACGCACTCCACAAATATCACTGTACTTTGCTGGGATTTTCACTCCAATAAAATCTCATCAAATACATTGAAGTTTCTGCTTTGACTGTAACAGGTGGAAACCTTACACATATAAATAATTCTGGGAGGTTCTGTATAAAGTTCTGTATAAAGCCCGGTTCTTAGCAACTATCTTTATCAAGACCACCGGTCATTTTATCTGTTTCTGAAGAGAGTTAAGACAAGTTAAATATGTGGGCTTCTCAGCCAAATCTCTTCTACAGGTTTTCAGATTGATTGATTGATTAATAGACTTTATTGATCTCACAGGGGAGAAATTCACTTTATCATTGATCACAGATCATTGTTAATGCAGTTTAACAATTGGCCACTAGATGGTGGAGTTGTTATAGCTAACCAAAGCAGAGCAGTATTGAGGAGCCGGGCTGTATCAGTGTGTTTACTGCTATGTTACTGACCTTCTGAGGACCACCAGCACTTCTAGAGAACAAAGTCTGGTCCCCACGTGGCAGAGCCTCCTTTATAATGTTAGGGTGAGTTAAGAGCTTTAGAGTTATGGTGTGAATTAACTGTAGGTTAAGGTTAGAAATATATCCTTATAGCCAGCGTTAGGGTAAACGTCAGTCAATGTAAAGTGATAATTTGTGTAGAAATGCAGAGATGTGTGTTTTTGTGGACGCATACGTTGCGTGCAGTAGAGTCCGGTCCATCCGGGGCTGCAGGTACACTCTCCATCTGTGGCGCTGCACTCCGCCCCGTTATGACAGTTACACAGGTGGGTGCAGTCTGGACCCCATGACCCTGCAGGACACGCTGCCAGAGGGATGAGAAGAACCAAGTCACACATCAGCTGATTCCTCGCTGTTGGATAGCCCTCAACTAAACCAAGGGGTGAACCGGAGTCACATCAGGATGCTGGGAGTCATTTTCTAAACTACCTCAGGAAAACCAAAGCCTCAGTGTAAACTGATCTTCAAGACCACCTTAAAAGCCTCCAGGCTTTCTAAACAGTCTCTGACTCACGTTTGGAGCAGTCCTCTCCGATCCATCCAGGGTAGCACTGACACGAGCCATCGATGGGGTTACAGGTGCTGTTGTTGGTGCAGAAGCAGGCTTCAGAGCATGCCTTGCCATACTTCCCACTGGGACACACTGTGGATAGGGACACAGCAGAGAATGTCCTCAGTGTTTGAAACACCACAGGAGTCCAGGCATCCAGTCAGAGTACCAGCAAACAGAAATCCCTCACCCCTCCACTTTATTACAGTTTCCTACAGAATAATAACTGACCTTTATGAAATGGTGTGTTGTATCAGATCAGGAACCAGAAGAACCCAGTTTTAAGTTCTCAATTACAGACATGAGGCTGCATGATGGAGCTGTTGGCACTGCTGCCTTGCTACAAGATGGTCCCTGGTTTCAATACTAAAGAATGTCTAATCAGTCAGTTTCCGTCCCTCTGTTACTGCTCCTGGGATTCAGTTTATTGTGCTGTGTTCACAAAGTTAGTCAGAGTTGTGATGGTGGTGCATCCTGCAGCTCTCCTCATCTGTCCCCCGTCTGACCACAGCTAGTAATGACCAACCTCTAAATACTGGAAAAATAACTAAAATCACAGGAGATTCATCTGTTAGCTCTGTGGGAATAAGACGTTTCTGAAAAGCGACCTGTAATTCTGAAAACGCAAAACTGGAGGACTCTGTTAAGAACGTTTCAACCCTTAAAGTCGTAGGGAAACGGCTGTTCCAATTGTCGCATTTCCGAATTCTCCCGAGTGGTGCCCGACTTTACACAAGTGAATAAAGTGAATGTGATTGGTCGTTTTTTAAGGGGGCGGGATTGTTGTGGCGGAAGGTTCGCAAGCAAGTTTGGTTGTGGCCGGTTTGTAGGAAGCATCTTGCAAACCAGTTAGCAACTTAGTGCTAGTAGGTTCCCAATGGGAAATTCCATTGGGACCAAGTAGCACTAAATTGGTGACTTAGAAACGACGCTGTCAAGGAACGCTATGGACAGCGGAAACATGCAAGAGGAGGAGAGTTTAGTGTCGGAGGTCGTGGATGAGTCTCCTCTGTCATCCATTTTTTATTTAGAAAAGGAAAGCGGGCTGAAGATGTTGTGGAAGAGGACGCCAGGGCAGCAGAAGCTTGGTTTGGTGTTGACTGTTGATATATGATTGGCCGAATTTAGGTGTACAAGCTGACGTATAACTAACTGTCCTGCATAAAATAATGAAAACATTTCTCTAAGATTTTAAGACAGGATTTTTTCAAAATAGAAAGTTTCTAAATTTCATTATCGTCTGATAGAGTACATTTATATACATGTTTAAGCCAGAATGATTTGACATTTAAATGTGATTTCCCTTCGACTTTAAAAACGGTTATCTGTAGAATAACGTGGAAGTTCTGAGGAAGAGCTGATTTGGAATCAGAATACATCTGAGCAGCAGTTGATTCATTAGCACACTTTGCAGAACAGATAAAAAAAACAAAAACAAAAATAAATCCTCTATCTTCTGTTAATAATGTGGAACAGCAGCTGGATTCATACAGCTTCATCAGCTGTTCTAGACAACCTGCTCAGTTTGGGACAACAAGAATAAAGAAATAACTAACTTTACTGAGGTCCTTCAGAGTTTTCTGACAGTTTGTGAGGAAGTTAGTGGAGAAACAGAATGATGTAAACCCTAGCTAAAATATGAGTTAATGAAGCGAACAGAGAGCGGCCCTCTTCTGCTAATTATCCTCTCCTGATCATTCCCATGTAAGGTTTATGTGCTTTGATTCAAAGTTAACTGTCACACACTGCTAAGTGTTACGTTGGAGGAGGGAATGCTAATGATGACATTTCTAACAGCCCATTAAATAGAAGAGACGCTGCAGCTGGTTTGTGTTCAGCTGCAGGCAGATCAGAGGGAGCCTCCAACTAAACAATAAACGATCAACATCATCCTGACAAACGCAGCTCATGGAGAACAGACAGATCCTGGGTTAAAGAACTTAGAGTGACTTAGACTTAGACTTCTTTTATTGTCTTTGCACAAGAAACACAAGGTGAATCTTGACAACGAAATGTCGATTACTTGGCTACCAGTGAAACAGAGCTAAGACTTTATTCCTGCACAATAAATATGTTTTCTATGAGTAAGAGCCAGCTATATACAGGGTAAGAGTATATATATATATACATATATATTGCACTGAGTTATTGAATATTGCACTGAAGAGTTATTGAAAATGAAACATTAAATTGAAGACAAAACTAAACTAAGGTGCGTGCATTGTCCATGTCCATGGGGGGGGAGTGTTATGGGGCGTTAAGCAGTCTGATGGCCAGGCGGAAGAAACTGTTTAGTAGTCTGGTCGTTCTGCAGAAGGTGCTGCAGAACCTTCTGCTGGACGACAGGTGGGAAAAGAGTCCATGGTTGGGGTGGGTGGGGTCAGAGAGGATCTGGTGAGCCTGGGATAGCGCCTGCACTGGAGAAACGATCTAGAAATTAGGGTTGTCAAAAGTATCGATACTCAAAAAAGTATCGATACTGAAACGTTGTATCCGGATACAATACTCATTTTCAAAAGTATCGATACAGTGCCACCACCAGTGGCACCTAAACAGTCATTCATCTAAAGTGCAGAATAGAGGAAAATGCACTTTCAGAACACTGTGTCATTGAATAATTCCGTGCACTTTTCAGTTTCAGACTTTTTTTTTGTAACAGGTGCATCTGCTGAGAATTATTTTTGTTTCTTAACCAGTTTGGCTAGTGTCATTGCTATGTGTCCAAAGCATAGCAAAGTAAGGAAAACTTAATTTTAAATTTTGTAAGTTTTTTATCAAGCTTGTTTACTGTGCACAGCAAACAACCTCAAAAATATTGTTCTTAATGTTTATTGTATTTATTTATTGTATTTTAAGTATTAATAAAAATATTTCTGTTGAAATTTGGAGTTTTTATCCTTATGGTATCGAAAATGGTATCGAGTATTGAATATTTTCCTTAATATCGGTATCGAGTTGAAAAGTTTAGTATCGTGACAACCCTACTAGAAATAAGTAAAAATGTCTTAAATAAAGGGCATTTACCCTTAATTTGAGCAGAAAAATAAGATGATTTGCCAATGGAATGGGTATTTTTACTCTTAAAATAAGATATTTAGATAAAATGCACTTGAAATAAGAAAAATGCAATTGTGTGTCCTTATTTAAATATAAATTGTCTTGTTCCATTGGCAAAATGTCTGTTTTACCTTCTCAATTTAAGAACAAATGCACTTATTTTAAGAAAAAAAGGACTTATCTAGATTTTGATTTTTTCCAGTGTGTCCGCGATGTTCTTGATGCAGGGGAGCGGCGCCCCTGTGATCTTCTCCCCTGTCCTCACCACCATCTGTAAAGACCTCCAGTCAGAGGCCCTGCAGCTCCCAGACCAGATGGAGATGTAGCTGGTCAGCAGGCTCTCGATGGTCCCTCTGTAGAAGGTCTGAAGGATGAGGGGTGGGAGGGATGCTCTCTTCATACGACACAGGAAGTGCAGGCGCTGCTGGCCCTTCTTCACCAGTGAGGAGATGTGGGGTGACCAGCAGAGGTTGTCAGTGATGTGCACCCCCAGGAACTTAGTGCTGCCGACGACCTCCACAGCCGAGTCGTTGATGAGGAGGGGTGTGTGGGTCGGTCTGGATTTCCTGAAGTCGATCATAATCTCTTTGGTCTTTTTGACGTTCAGAAAATATTAGCTATGACATTCATATGGGAGACTGAGCACCAAATTTCCAGGCCTGTGTTACATCTCACTGATGTTTAATGTGGGCATTTACTCCGTCAGCAATCCTTTGACATGTGGCGTCTTTTTCATGCCGCCACCATGTTGGACGTTTCTTTTAGACTTTGTTCCTCTTCGTATTGCTGTACAGTTTTTGTTGCTAACAGGAGAATTTGTGCTCTCATGATTGTAACTGGTCTGCTACTGTACCTTGGATCCGCCCCTTTTTACATGCGCACTCACAGATTCATGATCAGTGAAAGCATGATTGAGTTAGCAAGTTTAATCCTGATTCCCATTGTTGTGGATTGGTTAGACGGGATAAGCTGGGAGTAATCCCACTATGCTGAGCTCGCTTCATGGTACGGGCCTCAGGATTCTCAGCCAGCCACATCAGAGAGACCCTATGGATGGAAGGCCAAGCAGGCCACAGGAATTAGAATCTTCTGATAGTTAAAAGTTAGATGGGCCTGTTGGCAATCAAATGAAGCTAAACAGACTTTCTGCCATTTCCTCCTGTTTCAAGGCACCTTCCCTTTCCAAAATGGAGATAAACAGAGGTTATAGGCAGTACTCGAGTTGAGGGACCATTAAATGACCATGCCCCCATACCATCCCCTGTAACATTTTATCACTGAATGTGTAAATTTCTACTATATATTAACAGTAATGGCAATAATATTGCCTTTTCAACATTTGGCAGGCTGTGCTCTTACGAGTAGCCTGAACAAATTACGGTGGCCCAGAGGGCACATGCGATTTCATTGTCGACTTTAGTGGCGCAACCAGCGGAGCAAGTGACAGAGTTCTGAACAGCATCAAGCGGCAAAGACAACACGATTTGAGGGAATGTGAAAATAAGGAGGGGAGGGAATCTTCTGCAGGTTCTAAGTTGCCAAGATCTCCCTACCCTGCTTAGTTTGAGAAATAATGTTCTTACAATTATGCAAGTTTCTCCACATAATCATACCTGTTCTCTGTGATTGTGGTATGAATTTCATAAGTCTGGGACAATAAATGTTAAAATAAGGAGGGGAGGGAATCTTCCGCAGGTTCTACGTTGCCGTGATCAAACTGGTTCCAGAAAGGGCCGTGTGGCTGCAGGTTTTCTTTCCAACCAAACAATAACACACCAGACTCCATTCATATCAAGTCATCATGTTCAGATTGGACCCCCTTGATGAGATGACTGGAGTCTGGTGTGCTATTGCTTGGTTGGAAAGAAAACCTGCAGCCACACGGCCCTTTCTGGAACCAGTTTGACACCCCTGCCCTAAATTATATCCAAAGAAAATATTTCATTGAATTCTGTTTATTTTTGGATAAAGAGCGAGGTGAAAAGGTACATAGATCTTTGAATATACATTTCTATCTATTTGAATATGACATAAAG